GAGGAAGTATGTTAGTTCTCAAACTAATATGAAATGAGGAAATAATAGCGATAGCCATATCCTGCCCTGGCTAAACAACAACCTACCAGTTCAGGATCTCGATTTAACCATCAACATGTTTAAATTTTCCTTGGTTTGCCAGCTGTCAGGCAACAGAGGAAAACATTTTTGCCAAGGTCAGCTTGGAAAGTTTCATTTTGAAGGAAATCAGACTACCGCCACTGCCACCCCCTGTACACCTCCCCCCACCCCGCCAACCGAGTTCATAAAGGTTGCAAGTTAAACTAAGAATACAGTTTGAAAATCGAATGCATGCTAGGGTACTTTAATTATAATTCTGTACCTCAGGAGCTGAATGCTTTGCATATAGTAAAACATTGCATATTTTCGGGAATATCCATATAACAATAGCATTGCCCCTTTGCAAGCTTTATGTTGTTTCTAGATGTTCAACCAAGCTAAATGATCCTACGATATTTCACAGGAAACTATGGATACGAGCATTTCAATTAATTCAACAGTGAATTTGCAGAATTAACAGTATAAAATGTATCTAAATTGTCTCCTAAAGCTTTTCTTTCAGCCTCAGAATTTGTCAAAAATATTTCCTAATGTCAATACCAAATCAAAATTACCAGCCAGTGATAAGAGGTCCAATTAATAAAAATCTGGATAAATTGTGCAAGAGGCTGACTCACCTTATTCCCACTCTGACTGGCATGTTCTTTCTCCCATCCAGTAGGAAAGGCAAAAGGCTGCCCCTCACTGCCCCACAACAGGGAAGTGATGGGATGAAGGGATTTCCGACAGCTCTTGCAATTTTCCTGCCATCCTGATCCCTTAAAACATTAGTGACTGCCAACAGACAGTTGCAAGTAAACCCTGGGTCAAGGGTAGAAGGCTCACTGAAGAAAATGGAAACCGAGAAGTGTGCCCTTTTGCGAATGCACAGCAAAGTTGGCTTACATTGTAGACATTTTTGTTCAATTTATCTGGAGTTTGGAATAAATATTTACACTGAAGATGATCATCCTGGGCGAAGCATTGAATTTGTCTGTCATTTGTTAAGGGAGGTGATCTCAAAAGGCGGTTTTGCTGAGGAGTTAACCTAATCTACTGACTCCAATTTCATGCCAATAATGAAACACACCCATAGCAAATACTTGTGAGAATTGTTCATTCCATTAGGTCATGGAAAGGTCAAATAAACCTTGAATGATTTTTCAAGGAGATGAAAATTTATGTCTAGACAGACATGTTGCTGATTTTATGAAGGTTTCTGGGTGAGGTTAAGTGGAATTTTTTAATGTCTATAATTGATACCACATGGGGTGACCAAAGGGAACAGTTGAGCCAGCGGTCACTTAACAAAAGATGAGATTAGATTTTGCAGGGGAACAATATGGACAGCCGTGAGTAATTGGATTAATTTTCTATTACTTTTACAGTGGGCTGACACACAAATGATAGGCCAAATAGCTCCTCCCATATAACAAACATCTATGTTTCTATTTTTCTCAGTATGCACGATGGAAGTCTATACAGGAGTGTATATAGGACTGTAAAGCCAATCACGGGTTGTGGGGAAGGCCTGTTTTTCAGGGCATCATTCCATGGAGTTTTTCGGCCTACGAGAGTAATAATTAAATTTAGGAAGACTAAGTTCTATTTTTGGTGAGCAGCAGGCATTTTTTTGTGATTTTCTTGCCTGGTGATCAAAGCCCAGAGACATGAATAGCTGGCAGAATCCCCACAAACAAATCTACACCATCTGTACATGATTGCGTGCAGGCTCAAAATTGCTTAAAGAAGCTGGAAAAGCAAATCTGGGCTGTAAAACAACAGGCAAAGAATGAGGAGGGATGATGTCGATTCGTCACAACTATCATTTGTAGTTGGATACACAGAAGGCCAATTCAGTAGAATGCAGAATTGCAAACTTAGGGCAAAGATTAATATTTGCAATTTGAAAACACCACATTGCTTTCCTGTAGGAGGCCCAATCAAGTTAAGTGCCATCAGGCACCTAAGTGGCCAGCGTCAAGCCTTCCCCAGGATTTTAGGAATCGTATCCATTGAGAGCTCCAGGTCAATCCTTGGCCACCAGCTCTCCATTGCTGGTGGCGCTACCTTGCTTGGTGGCAGCTGCTGAAAATGCTCCAAGAATTTCATCATCGTTGAGTTCCCAGAAGCAGCATAATGGAGTAGGACCGGACCATGGAGGGAGGGTGTCAAGACAGTTGGAGATGAGGGCAAGGGGTCAGGGGACTGCTTTCAGTGTCTCACGTTTTTTTGATGTTGGGTCCCTGTCTGCAGGTTCATTCCCCACGAGCCCACAGGCAATCCAATTAAATTCTCGTGGGCTCAAGGGAAATGGATGTCAATTAGCTTATTGATGAGCCTAAGCGATATCCCAATATGATCAAGCAAATTTTGCAAATTGGTCACTTCCATCTCAGATTTAATTGGTGAGAAGTCTTCCTACTGTTGCCAGAATGACACAGGGCCTCTCCCACTATTAAGTGGACCTGACTGCTATGTTTTCTATAATGATGGTATGATCTAAATTTTGTTCTTTATTGTTACATTCATGTCCCTCCTGGTGTCTGAATAGTGGAAGGACTATGCTCAAAGTTGTATTCCGTTGCATCTTGTCACTAACTTCTTGGCTCCTCAACTATTGCTAAAGTATAAGTTATCTTGTTTGAAGTCTGGACAATCAGAGATTTCCACCAATCAAGCACTAGGAAGACTGACTGATGTGTGTTTGGTCCTCACTACGTACTGTTCCCGAACTACTGACTCCATCCCTCTCTCCCTACTATTTGTCTGAGGCTGATCCAGATTGCACAGCTTGTTAGTTCATATTTGATCCTGAGATAAGCTTCGATGAGCTGACCATGTATCTGTGACATTATGACCACTGCCTAGATCTACCTCAGTAGCATTTCCCAATGGAGCCCAACTTAGCTCATATACTACTGAAGCCCTTATCCATGCCTTTGACACATCGTGACTTGACGGTTCTAATGTACTAATGACCAACTTCTTAAGAAATGCTTTGACTTTACAACTCTTATCCTTATTTTCAAAACCAAGCATGGCCCCTGCTCTTCTCATCTTTGATACTTCCTCCAACCTCGTAGCCCTCCAAGATACCTGAACTCATCTAATTTTGTCCTCTTGAGAGTCCCTGATTTTAATTGCCTTACCGTTGCTGGTGATATCTTCAGTTTCCCAGGTGTTTAGAAATTCCTTTTCTAAACCTTGCCATGTGCCAGCTCTCTTACCTCCTTGAAGATACTCTCTAAAATTTGCTACTTTGATTAAGTTTTGATCATGTCATTTTATATAATTTGGTGTCAAATTTTGCTAAGTAATGTTCCTGTGAAACTCCTTGAGATATTTCATTATGTTAAAAGGTACAAGATGTTGTTGTAGACACTTTCATAGATCATAGAATCATAGAATCCCTACAGTGTGGAAACAGGCCCTTTAGCCCAACAAGTCCACACTGACCCTCAGAGCATCCCGCCCAGACCCATCCCCCTATAACCACCTAATCTACACATCCCTGAATACTACAGGCAATTTAGCATGGCCACTCCACCTAGCCTGCACATCTTTTGATTTCTGGTGCTATGCTCTTAGTTAGCCATTCTGGGCAAAATGCAAGAGTCGCCAAAACCATGATCAATTAGAATCCCAGAAGATCCAAGTGTATTAACCTAGATTCTTTCAGAGTTTGCAGCGGGACCTGGATCTAGAAGTCCAATGCCATTTCTCCCACAGTAGGGGAAATAGGTGATTCTTGGCTCATGCATGAGATAAACCTGAACTTAACATAGTCATTTCAACATGGTTTGGCTTTGAATTTTAAAAATTTTAAAGGTGGTGAGGGCATAATGTGGCATAGGTTAACATGATGGGGCATGTGGATTAGGAGTAGGGAGAAAGGATGGCATTGGTTGAACAGCCTTATGCATAACAAAACAGCAGGATGAATTCACAGAGAATCAAGATCGTCTCGTTTACCTTTTAAAAAGGCTGTCTCGGCATTCAGGAGCCCCTGTAGTAACTTCTGATCTGTGCCCATTGTTAGCAGGCCTGACCCCAACCCACACACAGCTCAAAATCCCCTCCTCCATCTAAACCAAGATCCCACTATTCAGAGATAGTAGGAACTGCAGATGCTGGAGAATCTGAGATAACAAGGTGTAGAGCTGAATGAAGGGTCTAGGCCCGAAACGTCAGCTTTCCTGCTCCTCTGATGCTGCTTGGCCTGCTGTGTTCATCTAGCTCTACACCTTGTTATCCCACTATTCAGTTGAGTTTCACTCACGGTAAGCACAGCAAACTGATTAATTTCCCGACTCCTGCTACTGGAGCCAGGAGTGAAGATCCAGGCCGACATCTCTTCGAGTACAGTCTTGGAATGTACAGACTAGTGTATGTAGCTCTGCTGGTTATAATCTGATGCATACTGAGAATACTGCATTCCCACAACAAAGTTGGGTAGAACACACGTGGGAGATATGTGTCCCAAACAGAAAGGCAGATGTAGCAGCTCTGATATTTTCCAGGTTGCAGGCGGAGGGTCTGAAATCCTTTCCTGCAAGCATTTGCAACATAGTCCCTTTACCCAAAGGCACAGACCACCTATCAAGACAGCCAAATGGTCTATAAACTGTAACAAACTGCCAAGTGTTACTCACCATAAGCTGCATTTTAGCTTCAAAATGAGACTTGTTATATTACTTGTCATCTTAAAGAGCAGCTCTACATGTTGAAATTAGCTTGCAATGTGTTAATATCAGTATTGAGAAATTTAATTCATAATTATTCCCTGAATTAACTGTTCTGTGTAATAAAAAAGACTGAATTAAGTTGCAAATGGGGATTGAAAGGCAGAAGAGAAAGATAACTGAGGCTGCAAAGAGGAATGATCTAAACACACAAAGGAAATCAAACCAGTAAGAATGAAAAACAATGATACTTACGACTGGGTCCATGAATCTTTATCGGCTCAGAAGCAGTAATCAATGTGTGAGAGCATTGCTGGCATACACAATCTTTCCCACTGAAAGTAACACGGTCTCCAACTGGGAATGGCTTTCTAAAGGGGAATAATGAGGATTTTAAACAAAGTATGTGCAATGGTCTAACCATCACTCTTACACATTCTTTAAAATATAATAATTTACAACAACATTCCAATTTAGCCGCATTGATAGGCAGGCTGAAGAATGGCAGCTCCTTTCTAACCATGAATATATGTTGTTTAATAATTGTTTGCTCTTGTATCCCTACGTGTACAATGTGTTCAATTAACACGTAATGCTTGTCTAAGCTTGTCATCAATAAAAACACTCAATATTGTAGCTGTATTTACTTGACTGAGGTTAATTGAGATTTTTTAAAGGTATAAGATTGTGGTGTGTTCAATACAGGATGTTATTGAAGTGAAGCTTAAGATGTCTGCCTATAGCGTATGCGCCTCATGACCAAAGGTTATATAACTATGTCAGACTAAGTCAAATATTTGGACATGATTATATTTCAATTCAAATATCAGGCCATTTGATATGGTTACCCATTTTTCCCACTATATACACTACTTTTCCCATGCCTTAGCAGTTCATTTTTTCATCAGTTTCTACCTATGCATTGTACACATTGTTATTAAATTGTGCTGGTCTCTTAATTGCATTTGTGCATGTTGTTTTCACCGACTGTTCCTCTCAGTGATGTTTATGTCTATTATGTTTGTTGGCATTGTTGTTTCATTTCCGTGATTAGGGTTCTCCGGACCTCTGGGTCGGATGGTTGATATATGATCTGAATGGGTGGTGCGTCCACCTCTTCCTGCAGTCGAGGAACAAGTTGCTTAGTTGGGTGTAGGTATCTTCAGTTCAGTTGGTATTTCTGATCATTCACTTCAATTGCATACGATTGAGGTGACAACTATTCTATGCAGGTCCCAAGTTGCTACTTGGGCTGGCTTTTGTTGAGAGAATTGGAAGTTTGTACCCTGACTGGCTTTCTAATACTCAATTCTTTCAATGTTCCAGCAGTCTTGTCGAAACGAAATTAGCTTTCTACTGTTTCACCTTGATTTTTTTCACTCACACTTGTTGCTACTTCTGGCTTCTGCTGCTTTTCTGTTAACTGGAGAGTAGTTTGTGTGCAGCATGATTTTAGTCTTTGTACTGGCGTGATAATGTAAACTTCAGAACTTTAATAACTTTAATAAATACTTCTCATGGATTGAAAGATGTAGCAATAGCTCTGAATGGAATCGACTGTTAAGGGACAAAGACAAACTGTCGGGCAGGAATTGAAAGCAATTGGCCAGTTTGGGAAAAGGAGTCAAAGCTACATAAACAAAACTGTTTTAGCAACTGCCTGATAACTGGCTGCTTTATGCCACAAGGACAAATGATTGCCCACAGAAGAATTTAAGGAATTAATGGCAGAAAAGTTGTGTCTTCAAACTGACAGTAAATGCCAAATGTAACAAGGAACAGGGAAGCTACTTCAGATAAGAAAGCAAACTGTGAATTAAGGTGGAATATATTTTGAAAGTCTCTTTCAAACGGTGGTAAAAATCTAGTGACCTTTTTTGTGTTGTATGGACTCTATGACTCAATGACTGTTACTTGTTATGATTTACACAAAAAAATCTGTAGCTATTGTATAATTCTGCCATTGTTCATGGAAAAATTGTCAGTTTGGCCTCATATTTCTAGTAATTTGAACAGGAGCTGTCGGGGAAAAGCTTGAGCCATTTTATCTTGAGCCACGTTTACACTTTCTTTTTAATCTTTTTTCAGTCATAGCTCACAGCTGCACAGCTGATCATCTTTCAAATTTCAGCTCTGGAAACTCACCATGTCTGGGACCATGTTTCAAATGTATAACACGCCAATGTGTTCAACATGAAGCCTTCATCAAAGTGAAATTCAAGATACAAACCTATGAGGTGTGTGCATCATGATAGAGGCCAAGGCAGACTAGGACAGGCATTTGTACATGATTGCATTTCAATGCCAATAGTGTTTACACATTAAAATAGCAAAACAAAAAGTGGCAGTGAGACTGACCCCGTACTCTAACTTATTCCCTGAGCATGAATCTGGTTTTGCAGATTGACCATCCATTAGAAAATACATCTTTTCTTCATTTCCATTCTCAAGTACTTTGCATTTCTACCAGTAGTCATTTACTTGCCTTCACTAGGTGTTTATTCCCTCATTTTGATCTGTTGAACCAATTCCTATTAATGGGATCACATTCTGAACACATTAGCTCTTAGAAATCATTTGAAACACCACCCTGTAGAATGAGGCATCTTTATTAATTAAATCTTACATAATATAAGAAGACATCTGCTGACATTGAAAAGGAGGTCTGTAATGTGATAAATTGCTATGGAAGGAAATTCTTATTTTTGAATGATATCAACCACAAGCTCTAAAATTAATTTGTAGTAACAAGACATAACTTTAATTTCTGGGAGTACCACTCAAAATTTTCAGTAATGAAGGATCAGGATTTAAATAATTACATTTTCTGAAACTAACATTAAATGAAAACATCTGCAAATGGGTCAACATATCATCTGCTGGACTGTAAGTTGAATTAAATTGGTTTGGAATCCTCCTCTACCAAAAAACAGATGCTTCTCTTTTGGTTGCACACGAACTCTACAAAGTAGTAATCTATTCCTATTCCCTAAATTTGTTAAACTTGACAAAATTATTTCTTTAGGATTTCCCCATCTCAAACCTGTCAAAAAGTTTTTGATTTCATAAAGAATTTCTCTTCATTTATCTTTCAGTGTTTTACTCCTCCTTTGTCCCTCTGTCACCCCATCCCCCCCTACCCTGAGCAGTAAATATTAAATACATTAGTTTCTCTACTTTGTTTTTCTACTTCAATGATCTGAGTCCTGGAATCTATTTCATTTCAATCTTCCATACTTTCCTGTTAGCAGCTTTCCCTTAGTGATCATTCTGGAGTCATTAGGCTAATTCTTTTGTCTTTCTTTAACCCTGTTTAGGACTGAGAGTGGTCAGGAGAGGGAATAAAATGGGCCAAAATATTCCTGCTAACTTATTGCTGAAGACTGTCACATTCCTAACTGATCTTGATGAATCTCGATATAATCAGCCGGCACTCTTACCCCAGAAACAGAAAAATATTAAACTAAAATGTTCAAATTGGATCAAGCAGTCCACAGAGTCCCAACACTACTCAAGTCTCAATCAGAAATAGTAAGAACTGCAGATGCTGGAGTCAGAGATAACATAGTGTGGAGCTGGAGGAACACAGCAGGTCAGGCAGCATCAGATCTGATGCTGCCTGACCTCCTGTGTTCCTCCAGCTTCACACTATGTTATCTCAAGTCTCAATCAGCACTGCCATAGCCACTTTCTCAAAAATTAATGCAGTTTAAAGACATTCCTTGTTATTTAAAAGGAATCCTTAGCTGCTGTCAGAGAATGCTGAAAGCTAATTCTGTGTGCGTTATGTCTCATGGTCGGTACGTCAATATAATTTTAAGCATTATGTTCATTATATCATCATTGTATCATAGTATGTGACCTGAGTGAATAAATGACTCAGACTCCAATTAACCTGGGATCACTTGAAGCACCACAGGTTGTTGAAAGTATGCTGCTCTGTAATAATCAAATTGTTAATCAACGTTAACTCAGGCACTTAGTTATATGTGAATGTAATGTTTGTACATAATAACGGCTCTAATAAATTTATGTTGGAGACTTCAAAATAGTAATAATTGTGCCTAGTTTCTTATGATACAGGAGCTAACATAAGAACTGCCACAACGGGTAAAATACCTGTTGGATGCAAAATCCCATCTTGGCTGGCAGCAATGGCCATTTTTAAGTAAGAGTTGTGGTATTATGAGCAGCAGATATTTGGAAAAGTAATTGAAGACCAACCAGACAGCAGCTTTGGACTTCAGGGAATTTGCATAATCAACAGCATCAGCTTCTGTGAATACAGACAGCTGTACAGATCTATATTTGGGGCATTAAGCACCAACAAGATAAAATCCAAATTTCAAAGACTTCCTCAATTGAAAATAAAAAAAGTTGCAGCCCAATTTTAGCTGAGACACCATAGAGAGCTGGATGTTGGATCTTCTGTCATGACAGATGACTCAAAAGTAGCAAACTGACAATAGCTACAGCGTCTGATTCTTAAAAGATAAAAGCTTTTAATTTTACTAACACAAGGCAAAAGTTTTGAAATGAATTAAACTGACTTTAAAGTACAATCCAATGTCTTAAGCCTGAATTATAGATATCAGAAACCTTGTAATGTAATGGGCATCTAGTGACACCTTTACTGAACTACAGCTGTTAAAACAACATATGTAAGTCAATTTTTACAGATGAATCAACAGGTGATCCAGAGAAAAGAGTTAAATTTTGCTTACTAGTAGTTATTTTTTAATCTTAATTTAAGAGATTTGAGCCTTAAAGTTTCCATAGTTTCATCTCATTAAAGCATAATGTTGTTCATGGAATGCTGTATTGTTAAAATCTTTTACACTAGTATATTTAATCCCTCAGCCTTCTAGCCTTCCTTTTTGAATACTTACTCCTAAAGTAAGTATTTGTCCTATCAGCTTCTGAAAAGATGTGGATGATTAGCATTGGCAGCTTACTCATTGCATACGCATCGGACCCAGTCAACAAATATAATTGGACCTCCTGCCAAAGCCATCAGGTAGGCAAAGCAAAATACTCCATCCAACACCTTCCCAATCTGCATTCCATATCGCCATACATTCTCAGGCTTTTTAAACTCTTAGTGATACTCTATTGGCATTCAAAGTTCACAGACCACTTCAAATAATCAATACTCTGCTTCTGTTACTCTTATGATAGATTTTGGTGCAAAGACCATTTGCCTCTTATTAATTTGAAATTTGCTATCTTTACATTCTTAAATTCTTATTCTTATGGCATTCAAAATTAAAACAATTTGCAATTCATTTCTTTCAAATTTCTTTTTTTTTTATTTCATGTTGTTCCTCTAAGAAATGAATAGATATGTCAGTTAAGTCATTCTGAAATCTGG